TAGTAGACTTATTTTGTATGTGGTATGTAGTAAACTTATTTTTTAATCTTTTGTTTTTCAATTTATAAAAATTCTTTTGTTTTATAATTCATATTTATTTTTTAATTTAAATTTATGTTTCCTCTCTATTTTGTTTTATTGTTTAAACTATCTCTATTTTTATATTTTCTTTTTATAATTTGTTTATACTCTTTTAGTTATTTTTCTTCTTTATCTAGTATCTATTTTTTTTTGTCACAATATAGTATCTAATTAAAAGAAGAATAGTTTTGTAATTTTGTTATGAATTAGTGGTACAAATGAAATATTTCAAAAAGTGGTAGATTTGGAAGCAAAACTTCATTTGGTGGCATTTATGATAATTGTCCTATTATATACTTACATAAATCACTTTCCTCCAAAACTTATATTCCCTCCGTATCATATTAAATGATTTTTTAGAAAGATTTTTTTGTTTCAAATTAAATGATATTTTAAGTTTTTAAAATAAAATTAATTATGTTTTTGTTGTTTTTAACTCTTTAATTTATGCAGATTAGTTTTCTATTGGTTAAATTATATTGAAATTTGTGGTTTTATGTTGAAAAATAGAATATTACATAGTTTCTTAATTTGTGTGTAGAAATCTTACAAATCATTTAAAATGTATTACTAAAGACTTTTCTAGATCAATCAAAAGTATAGGTCCAATTTCCTCGAAGATAGAAACTCTAGGGATGTAATCAAAACTATGAAGTTATTATTTGGTCATTTCGAAAACGTCGTCGTTTCAGAAAACCCCTCATTTTTTTTCCGATCGTAACACTCAGTCCAACTCAAAACCCTCGAAATTCTCTCTCTCTCTCTTACTCGAGATCAATCGCCATTGTTGTTCGATTCTTATCTTGAAGAAGGAAAATTCACACAGATGAGAGGTGTTATAGGAAGAAGATTATCAAACCCTAATGGCTTTACCTTCGCTTCTATACTGAAGCAAAACCCATTTCTGATTCAACCCACTTCTCATTTCTCTTCTTCCTCCGATGGCTCTGGTCGTGGTCGTGGACGCGGCGGCGGTGGAGATGGAAGTGGACAATTCGGTATCAATCGTAACGAATCGGTGAATCAAGGACGTGATTCGTCGGAATCTCAAACTCAAGGAGGTTATGGTCATGGTCGTGGTCGTCCGATCCAATCTAATCCGATTTCTTCTCCTCCGTTTTCGTCTAGTATTGGCCGTGGAAGAGGATCCGTCGGATCAGAACCCATTCCCCCTTTCG